GAATGTTGGTGAGAAGAATAATTTGCGGGAAAAACGAGCGGTAGAAGAAACTGGACGATTGCCCTCCCACATTGAGTACAAAATTAGAATGGATATTGATAATGTTCCAACAACAAGAAAAATAAAGGACAGGTATATTTATATTAGAAGAAATTAGTTTTTCCATATTCATATTTATAATTAAATGAAACCTTTGTAATAACTATAATTTAATAATAAATAAACAAATATACCTTATAAAGTAAATAAATAACCAGTTACTTCAAATCATATTTGATGATAATTATGTGAAGCATGATTTCTTGTGTTTTAGATTTTGGAGTCCTGGACCAAATGACAACTTCATGGAGAATATGAGATATTTTCGTGGTTTTGTACAAATGCAGGAACTTCTAGACCAAACTATATTATCAGTTCATTCTGAAGGAAATGACACTGAATTGCCTATAAATTATCTTCAGCAATTTCCATATCCCTGTTATAAAAAAGATGGGTAAGTACACTTTAACTTACTGTAGATTTATTTCTTCCCTCCAAAGGAATAGTAATTAAAATTATTCTTAATGATATTAGATTCTCTAAAATTATTATCTTAAAGGTAAAAATATGTTTGTTTTTCTGACTCTTCCCAATTCTCTTACTAGAAATACTGATGAACAAAATAATACTTCCAACAGTTGATATGATATGTAATAAAACCATGTTCTGTTTTTACTTATTTATGAATATAAGTAGATGTGTGTATGTATGTACATATATATCTATTGATAAGAATTTTACAGCAAATATTCATTCATTAGTTAGCCAGGCCGTGTTTTTTGTTGAACTTCAGGCATGATGGTGGGTAAAGCATGATACATGGCCTAGTTAACTAAAATGAATGAATATTTGTGGTAAAATTCTTATCAGTGCTATAAGTGTAGTTACCAATTTGGCCTCCAATTTCAATTTTATTCCTTTAAGTTGTACGTTCAATTCTTCTTTAGCCACACCATTTTTTGATTAGATATTGTGACTTTTTCTCAATACATACCAACAAACCACATCAAATAAGAAAGTGACACTATATTAACTCACAATAGCTTTAGGATCCCAATCCTATTATTCGAAACAAACATTTACTTTGCAGAACCAACCAGATTCTTTAAAATATATGGTGATAGATTTTCCTCTCTAAGACAGTGTTAATAACTTCCTTTATAGTTTCAATAAGAGTATAAAACTATCTGTATAGACCTTCAGTGAAGTACCTGTAAAAATACAGGTATGATATTTTAAAACAACTTAGAAATATTGTAGACCTCATGCTGTCAGCTTTGTACATTTAGAATATCACCAATTAGCATATTGTTTTTGTACTGCATAATTTATTTCTATGACTATGAATATAATATGGAGCATTTATATATAGATAGCTTTATCAAATTACTTCCGTAAAGTAACTTACTCATGGAAATAATTTAAGAGATTTGTATTTATTTGTTGTTTTATTTCTTTGTTTCTTCATTGAACAATGAGTAACTTTATATAGGTAATTCAAATGAATTTACATGTTTTGATTTCTAGATTTGGCTACTTTTTGAAAAGCATGCTTCCTCCAGTAATGATCATAGCGTGGATATTTTTAGTTGCTTTTCTTATTCGTGAACGTGTCTTGGAACAAGAACTTCATTTAGAACAGGTAATTATCAGCTTCCTGATAGCAAAATAAAGTACTGCAGAAGTTTTATTGATAATGATACATTTTTGAGCAGAGAAGTATGTATTAAAAACAACTTAATAACAAGAAACGAAATTAAATTATATTTTTTTTATTAAAATTGATTAGATGCTAGTCAGAGAAATAAGTGTAGATTTCTGTGTATTTCAATCTTACAAGGCATTATATATTGTTTTATATTTGCAAGAAAACAAAAATTGTGTTTTGTACCAAAATTTATGATGATTTTATTTGCTATGGGAGTACCATAATAGAGAAACTATACTGATCAAATGACAGCTTGATGTTTAACCTTTAGTGTTGAAAAATTGCCATTATTATTAATCATTACTAGTGCAAGGTTTATTGATATACTACTGGTCCTAGTTTCATTATGTGGTATATCATTGGCAAAAATTTCTCCATTCTACTGTGCACTGTCCATAACGTTTTTACCTTGCTGTACAGTGTTATTTTAACAATAGGTCAAAGATGTTTTCACCTGCTTAGAAAGCAGTAGGGTTACATAGCTCTTTATGTCAGAAACTGATAGAAGTTTCTACTCACTTGGATGTTTTGTTTCTAACTGCACGAGAATCTGCTTAACTGAAAGCTAGTGGAACACTACAATCAAAAAATGCTTTAATTTCCTCTTTATAAGGACCAATATTTTTCATACCATACTGAACACCACATTTTGGATGCCTAGCCCATCCAAGCACAAACTCACCTGTGTCTTTGAAGTTCACGTTGTAAATTATGATATCCAAAACACTTTTTTTTTTTTTATTTGATATGACACCTTGGGAGCTGTTAGAATGCAGTTGGAAATTAATGGTCCTGGGGGTTTCTATATTGCTCATATTTTCTTATACATGCCTTTCATCCATTCTTTAAATCCCTAATACATTTGTGACTAAAATATATCCATGTATAGCAAACAAAGTAATGGGGACCAAAACTGAATTTTTTCTCCTTTTTTTTACTTTTTTTTTGGCTTTTGTGCAAGCAGTGTTAATAGTGCCATAACAGCTGATTTTCAATCTAAAAGTTGGTTTACACTCAGAAAGCATGTATTATATTATCTTTATTCTTGATTGTGTAGAAATATGTAAAGTGCAAATAATCATCTTTTCAAAGTTTGAAAAACATTAGTTCATTTGCTCATAAACTGGCATTTTAAAGTTATCGATAATATGTTATATACTTTTGTTTTAAAATTAATTTTTTGTTATAATGTAAATTACCAATTTAAATTAACGTAAAATTCACTGTTTAATAAAGCATTTGTAAAAAAACTTAAGATACATGAATGAATTGAATGTTTAAAATGAACAAGTGAATTGTTCTTTTCTCTTTTCTTTAGATTTTATATGTGATGGGACTTAAGCCATTGGTTAGTTGGATGGCATGGTTTTTATCAGGACTTGTTGTCCTTACCAGTGTTGTCATCTGTGTTGTTGCTATCCTTAAACTTGGAGGTATTCTCCCCTATTCTGACTGGTTGGTGGTCTTTATCTTTTTAATGGACTATGCACTTGCTCTACTTATGTTCTCGTAAGTACCACTTTTTTGTAGTTTTTCAGCAGTAATGTTTTGTATATTTTGCTTCTTTATCTTTCAACTTATTCATTTTATGCAAGTGACACTTAAAATGTATGTTTTTGTGGTAGGTAACTTCTGAAAAATTAACAGATCACATTGCTTTGAAAATACTTGAGGGAAAATAATGTTATAATAAGACATAATAATAAAATGTAGGCAGAAATTTGTGATAAATCATACAATAAAGTTTAAATCAGCAAATTATTTGAGCATTGTGTGATTTTTTTTCATGCTCAGTGGAGCATGTGAAAGTGATGTTTCTCAGATTTAAAAAGCATTTAATGACACCCATTTGTAAACTAATGTGTAGTTTTCTTTTACAGCTACATGATGAGCGTTTTCTTCAAAATTGCGACCATTGCAGCATTAACTGGCATCATTGCTTATTTGTTATCTTTCCTTCCATTTGTGCTCATTGTAACACTAGAAACCCACATTGAGCTTTGGAAAAAACTGTTGAATGTAAGATTTCTGCATCTTATCCTTATTATTTTTCTATGTTAAAATTAGTGTTAAGTTCTTGTTCTAAAAGGGGGGGGGGGAGCTTTTAGCTGTTATATAAGAGGGCCAGCTCTAGTTACTGTGGGGCCTACAGATGCACCAATTACTAACTCCCTGTTCCTGATGTAGAAAGTATGCATTATAGGAAACTGTACTATTAAATTCACCATACATTCCCAACTTCCCCATACAAAATTGTAAATAATTTCTGTTTTTCTTGAAAATATGGCAACATTTGGAAGGTCAACTCATGCATATTATATATACATATCATATTAAACTTACAATTCTATAAAAACTCAGGAATCCTTAAAGATTGTACAGTTTTCTATTAAAGTGTTTAAATTGTATTAACATTATTGCAGCTCAGAAAAGGTACTGCCATAAGGCTTTTAGGCATGATTAGAGAAAAATAACATTTATTATGCTGTACTTATTCCTCCACTTCATAATTTATCTTTCTAAGTCCTTGAACCCTCCAAATGGGTAACACTAAAATTTGATTACTTACTCTTCAAGGTTTATTAATATATTCACTTGTCTTTCATTAAACATGAAAAATTCCTTAAAATCTCTTACATTGAAGCACTCATTCTAGCAACGATGACACTGAAATTCACTAGATTCAGTAGTGATTCAGTGACCATAACTGACTTGTAAATCTTTGGTCACATTTTCGAGGAATCGGACTGAAAATAATCTAAGTGAGAGACTGATTCTCACAAAGGTTTGTGGTGGTTGCACACTTGGCACATGCCTAAAGCTGGCCCTGTTGAATAATAAAATGTCTACATGTATTGAAATAATTTTAAGGTTGAATATTATGATGTACTGCAATTTGTTTGCTTCCTAAATTTAATTAAAAGTATATTTTTGGTACTTGAAACCTTGAGTAATTTTCATGCGAGTGTATAATATTTGAAAGTTCACAATTATATTTGATGAAACTTTGCATCTTAGATATGTTTCGGACCAATTAGCTTAAAGTTTTTTGGGTTTTTTTTTACACTGAGGAACCATACTTTTAGCACTTTTTTCATATAAATAAGTGTCTGTCTGGAAATATGTTTAGCTTCATTTATAAATTGTGTAAAACTAAATTAAATATATTTATGTGTATTTAATACACATTCAGGTAGTTTTCACTTCCAAGCATACTTGTTAATTGAAGATTCCTCACTGTAAATGAGAATATTTTTGTAAAACAGTTGTAGCATACTGTTTACATATCTGTTCATAAGTGTTTTAGGTAAATATATTTTTGGCTATGAAGTTTATTTTCAAAACTGATTTATTAGAAAGTTCCATCTTTTGATTTTTAATATAATGTATATATACCTATCTTTTGGATATAAGATCATTGATAATAATATTCTAAAAATTCTAATTCAGTGTATCAGTTCTTGAGAAATGTTTAAGTCTTTCAAATTATTTCCCAAAATCTTTTATTTATTTATTCTTAAAATTTTCCTAAATTTACAACACTTGTTTCTTTAAAACTACTAGTGCTTGCTGATGTCCACATCTTTCTGCTATGGATGTCTATATTTCACAAGGTTTGAGAAACAGGGTGTTGGAATCCAGTGGGATAATATCTGGGAAAGCCCAATGCCAGGAGATTCCATGAACTTTGCTTTGGCATGTATTATGATGTTAGTTGACAGTGTAGTGTATTTTCTGGTGGCCTGGTATGTTTCTACTGTGTGGCATGGTAAGTTTCTTGGTTTACAGTTTATCCAACTCAGTATAAAAAACTACTGTAAATTTACTGCCAATATTATGTATTGACACTATGGATATATTTATTGCTGGACTAATATATATACATATATTTTTTATATACAAAAACTCTCTAGTGCTTCAGTTACACATATCCTATGTTGTGTAGACATAAAACTTCCAGTTGTAGTAATTTCATCTTTAAAAATAACTTTGATATAAAACAAATGAAAGAAAAGTTATTTCTGTTTTAATCATTAATAAAACACACTTTATTTATATTTTGCATCAAAGAAATGTGTGGTTTTAAACTATTTAAACAAATATTCCATAATTAACTCTTGTGAAGAATAAACAGATGAAATATGTGGTGTAATATTATTTCAAATTGAAAAAAATATGTCATTAGTATATCTCATAATCAATAATAAAAGCTATATTCTTTATTTAATTTAATATTTTTGCTTCTGACTATAGCGGGTAACAAAGCCCGAAGACAACCATGGTATTTCTTTTTAACTCCACGGTATTGGGGTTGTTGTCGACCTCGACGAGTATATATTGTACCTCCAACTGTTCCATTCAGTATGAATACTGGAGCCTATTTAAGTAAGTATAATTTTAGGAGTTATTTTTCTGCAATCCATCATGAAGTGTTGTTTGTTTCTTTTGTGCTTAGTAAATATATACTGTTTGGTGTTATTTTAAAGCATATTTATATACTAGCAGAGACCCACAAAACATATCCGGCCAAATTAGTATCTTTATTGTAACAGTACTTCTTTAAATATAACATTTCTAGCACAATACAAACAAATTGTAATCGTAGACAATGAAATGTGTTAATCCACTTGTATATATGCCGTACTTTATAAAACTTTAACTTATGTTAGGCCTAAGTTCAATAAAGAGATAGAGTAACACTGTAAGCTGTATACGTTTTTTTACTTTAGTTTAGTTTAATTAGGGCTAAACGTTACTGCACTTAACACTATTGATAAATAGATTTATAATGTTATTCTATGACCTAACGTCAAACTTTTTTAAAAACTTTGATAAGTTTTTAATATTCTGTTG